TATAGTCAACTCAAATTATACTTTCTTACTAGTTACTTTACTTAATAAGATTATTACCTATTAGTCTATTTAATATAGATTAGTAGTTGTCGAACTTTTTGTTACCTTCTATTTAAGCACACCACTCCACTGCATCGCCAGACAAACTCTCACGGAACACTAGCGTAATACTCGCCTGCCTTAGTGCGGACCAGGACAGAGAAGTATAGATCCCCAACCCCGTGTAACATATACCTACTATACTGCGCTAGAGCCTAGTAACTAATACCTAATTGCTTCTCTCTTTAACACTCTTTATAAGTAATCTACTAATTAGCCTCGCGCTAAGTAAGTAGATCCTCGCTAGCTCTCTTTATAAGGACTCTACGCTTCTATATCTACTTTTTCTTATATTTTCTACGCTCTAATACTAATATATTAGCTTTCTTAAGGCTAACTATCTAATTACGTATTAGCTTAGCTAAGAGTATTATTACCTTAGCTCTCTTCTTAAGCTAGTTAATCGCCGCGATAATTAAAGCTAGTAATAAGTCTTAATACCTCTAAACGCGATTATATATTAGTATTAATTAAGCTTTAAGCTTACGTGTATTACTAGGCGTATAAGCCTACTAGAGAGCCTCTAGTAGAATAGCTAGTAGAGTAGGGGTACGTAGCTATATACTAAGCTTTAATAGAACTATATCTAGCTAGAGAGAAATAATATCTGCGCCTTAAAAAGCTAAGTAAATATTAGCTAGCGTAAAGAATTAATTAAACGCTACCTTAAACGTTAGTAGAAACTTAAGCTTAGTAATATAGTTAATATAATAATAGATTAGACTCTCTACCTCGCGGCTATACGCGCGCTTTAATAGCGAGAAGTAGCTAATATTAAGAGGCTAGAGTAGATAAGATAAATAAGGTAGTATATAGAGAGTGTAGATATTATTTTGTTAAGGGCGTAGAGGCCTTCGAACGAGTTTGCATTAGCCTATAGTACAGAAGAAGAAAGATAAAGAGAGTTAAGTTGTTATACGACACTTCTCTCTTTATACCCCCGCTTCTACGTTCTTCGTACGAGTAAGGTTCTAGCTAGGCGGTGTATCATAGGCACGTGATACAATCACGTGCTTTCACTCTCACGGGCGCAGCCCATTACATATTTTCCTTATAGAACTCTTAGAATTAAAGAGAGTAGTAGCTCTTATAGCTATTAAGAATAAGTAGATAATATATACTAATAACGTAAGTCTTTGTATAGACGTTAAAGTACTTTATCTATATAATATCTAGCTTATTATTTATTTAGCTATTATTACTAACTATAATTACCTAGTCGCGTAGGATCTCTGCCTCCTTATACTAGGTAGATAGGTAGTGCTTACTAGTAAAGATTAGAAACGGTAGAATAGACTAGCTAGCTGCGTTAATTCTAGCGATAAACGTTACCTACTTACGACTACTTAGCTAGATAGCTTTTAGTTTAGCTCTTCTTTCTAACGCTATAATAACGAGCTAAGTAGTAATCTTACTTATTAAGAAGCTAGCTTTATTAAAGTTATAGACGTTCCCGTTATAGATACTATACTTAGCCTTTATCTACTCTATAAGCTTAAACTAGCTCTTAATTAAGACTAGATCTTTATATAGAGCTCTCTATCTATTATACGCCTAATTAAAACGCGTTATAAGTCTATTTATACGCTTAACGAAGTTAGCTAGCTACTTCTATCTAACTTAGCTAGCGCCGCGCGTAGCTAATAATCTATCAGCTATATTACGTATAGCTACGTAGGTAGGCGAAAATCTACGTAGATCTAGATTAAGTATATAATTAACTATTACCTCCTCTTCTAGCTTAGTAAGCTTCTTTAAGTTAGGCTAGTAATTACGTTAGGTAGGCTTTCTATTGCGCCTATTCTGTAGCGTTAATCGTGTTACGTTAAATATTACTACTATACGTTAGTTACTCTAGATTTAATAAGTATAAAGAGAAGAGATAGTAAGCTAAATATCTGTTTTATTTAAAGGCATTTAAAATATATTGCGTAGAGTAGTTGTGTATAGAGTTAAACCGTGTGCGCAAACTTAGTGGGGTGGCCAACTCGCTTGCCTAGCCAACTCGCTTATCCAGCACGTTATAAGATATATTAGATAAGTAGATTAAGATAAACTTTTAAGAGAATACTTAAGAGTTCTAGTAGGACTATATACTCTATCTCTATCGCTGTCGCGCCTCTAGCCTAAGTAGTCTCTCACAGGTCTCTAAGGGCTAGCCTCTATTATCGAGAGCATCGTAATAATTACTATAACATTTTTTATTTTTTCTATACTATCTAAGTTACTATTTAGCTTCAAAAAATATAATATGTATTACTTATTTAGGAAATATATCTTAGTGTCTCTATCCAGACCTAACTCTCTACGCGAAGTACTCTACCTAGGGCGAATTATGTTTAATACGCTAACACTCCCGACGTCATTATAGGTAAAGTCCATAAATCCACTACTAAATCGTTAAAACTCAGGATGCGCATTGCGTACATCATTACTGGCATCCTTGCCACTCTCACCACTGCGCAAACATATCCCAAATGCACCATGGAAACTGCCAACTCACACGATTGCGCCGCCGTTATCGACACCAACGCGTGTTACAACAAGTTCAGATGGAACGAGCAGATACTACGATATATCGATGGAGCAGTTGACACCAAGAAAGCAAAGATGGCATGCGAAGATCTTCCTCTTGCTGCTGACGATATGATAGATAACAACACAGGTCTGCGAATGTTGCACATGTGTGGGAAGAGTCATGTGGTTCTGGGGAACACAGCAGAAGTTATGCTACTGCGATGCGAAATGGATGTTTTGGTGGGACGTTCAGAAGAATGTTAATGGCCGTACGTTCTTTGGATTAACGAGTCGAAATGGGACAGCAAGGAAATACGACGCGAAAACTTTATGAAACGAGGTACCTCTTGTTCGAGTTGATGCAAAATCCAACGCAGCTATAACGGAGCAATCTCAAGTCGTGCGTGCATAAATTTTCTAACACGCGGCCTTACGAATCTCCACTCGAATACTGTAGGGTATGCGCAGCAGCTATGATTTGTGACTCAACGATTTTAACAGCTCGCCCTGGCAAGTGATACTCTGACATTTGGTGTGAGTCTACCTATTTAGAACTGTTCTTCAACCTGAAATGATGCATATGAGATCTTATGACGACCAGGACCAGTATTGTGGCGTTCGACAAGAACAAAGCAATCGAGGCAAGCTGTTCTAGTCTGCTTCGGCAGAGGCCATCTAACTGGCCCTTTGTGTTCCAGACAGCATATCGCAGTATGTAGAAAAATACACCGCCATTCATCTCCTGAAACTAAACTCTTGTAATGTATCTTCTGCCTGCATCACAGCAAGACTTTGTTGCGCTTGCTTCACAACTCGTATTGAATGACTTAACCTTTTCTTCCCATTTGTTCTCAGCTAGCAGCATATTGATCCGATCTTTAGTTACACGGAATGGCTCAGGCAAGGCTGGATATGGCGCAGCGAGGTGCGGCGGAGTGTGCTGAAATCCAATGGCGTCTAGTACCAGGGGCGCGACGTGGGCGGAAGCGAGTAAAACTCGGGGCATTCCTTTACTAATTAGTCCAAGTGCTTCCTCAAAGAGGCTATCTCCCACGCACCATGTCCTGTGAACGCAGCATTGATGAATTGATGTTCATGACCCGGGACAGAGCCCACGAACGGAAAACCGTCTACACTTTCTCCTTGGACTGCAAAATGATCAGCCACGTACGGACCAGTAAGTGCATGTCCTCAAAGATGGCCATACTTCCCGTCCAACAGCCACCCTCGTCAGCCGGCTTGCCGAGCTCTGCCATAGCCGGTCCTGGCCAGTCTTTGATGTCGGATGCTGGCCATGATTTGCAGAAGTCGGACACTCCCACGAACTGTTTATCTTCTTGGTCGTTTGGCATGACTTTTTCTGGAGTATGGATGACGATTGGTCGTACACCTCCGAGCATGATAGTGTTGTAAGGCGCTGGCAATTGAAGGTGGTAGTTCTGTCTTGAAAGGTAGCTTTGCTAAAGCAAGAAAATGGGGCTTTGGATCCTTACATTAACAGTGCTGTCCCAGTGCTGAGCACCAGTGTGTTTGATGAATCCAGGCGGTGCTTTGATTGCGTTCATACTTCCTCTGTCGGGAATGATGAGCTTATCAAATTCTGGTAAGAGATGAGAGGCCCATCTATTAGTAGTGTGAACGACAGCCCTGGCACGTATACTTCCTCTAGTCGTCTTTACATGAATCCAGCCTTTGGAATCTCGCTCCGACACCTCAATGGCTGGGGTATTCGCATGCAAAGACATGTTGCCCGCTTGGAGTAAGATACGAAAGAGAGCATGGACAAACTTGTAGGGCCATCTGAGTCTTGTCAGAAATTGAGTGAACAGGAGGTATGGAGACCAACACCTGGCCAGAGGGATGCACTATAGCTGCGAGTGCTCCCTTCATTTGCGTGAACGTTTCTGCTTGTGTAGGGTCTTCAATCACCCTGCATACTTTCACAAACTCATTATCATCACCGTAATCGTCTCGCATGGCTTCCAATGCCCCTTTAAGGCGTTTCCATGCTTCCTCGGTCATGGCAGCATCAAAAGTTTCGCCAAACTTGAGACAAACTTCTTCAGTAATGCCTTCTTGCTCGCAAAGCTCTTTGAAAGCCTCAAGATGTGCCATCTCATGAGTGATTAGTTCCATTGCGCCATCAGCCCCAAAACGCCCCCGCCACACCGGATACCGGGAATAGATATGTGGTCTCAATTGACCCCCTTCTCGTTGTTAAACACTTATTCTATCATTTTAGATGACCCCTTACCATTGCGCCCAGTGGCACTCCCGCAAATATCTCGTGCTTCTAGGACAGTCACTTTGGGTTGCCTCTCTGCGTTTTCAGTCCCCTAATGTTCGATGAGTATAGCCTGGTATATATGCCTTGGGCTGCGCACACACCTTGTGAATCCAGTAGGCGGTGGATGCACCCGCATATCCGCTCCCGATAATTGCAATGTCAGTCTCCTCTGGCAAGACTTCGCTGGAACGAAAACTCCGGAGAGGTGATTCAGCGGCCTCAATCCAATAGGATTTGGTAGGATCAGAGACTGGGAGAACCATTTTTTTGTGCTATTTCAAAAGTACGATCTTTGCTTTACACTCATTGAAGCTAAAAGATCATTTCAACTATATAAGGAGCACAATCATGGCAGCGGGCGTCTGAGCCGATATCGAGCCGGCCGTGACAGAAGAGTCATTCCCTCTCTGGGAAAATGCCCAACGACCGGCCCGGTTCTGATAAGCTGTGGGGCCTGTCTGGCGTGCATTAAGCGAGAGCATAAGTGGCGGGTGCCTATGTAGCCGAACACGACAACTAACAGCATATTCAAGACCTAATCTTGGCTGACTCTCTCAAGATATTTTCACGATTCCAAAACAAGTTCTTTTTCACAGCCATATCACTATTATGCCCAAGCCTCAGGAGCGCATCATTTTCGACATCGTTGGGACCTGCGTAGGTTTCGACACATACTACGACTACATCGAATCTGTCCTAGGGAGAAGCTCCGGAACCATACCATGACCACACAGCACTTCGGCTTCACTTGGAAAACTACTACTGAACTTGAGTTCTTGTTTCTGTTAATCTAGGCCAGCTACAAGTCTTATAAGGATGGTCTTTATGGAGTATTCTACCGCACACTCAGCCTTTTTGGTGTTGCACAACCTCGAGATCTAGCCGCAGAGGAAGAACGACAACAGTGTATCAATAACTACTCAGATCTGAAACTCCATTCAGGTTTCGAAGAAGCTTTCTAATTGCTATACAACAACGGCTTTAAAGTTTAGTACTTAACGACTGCCGACGCGAAGCGACTTGCAGATTATTTCGAACGTGCCGGTGTAAACATACCACAGGACGGTATTATAAGTTGTAATACAGCTAGCTCAGCAAAACCAGCTCTTTCAAGCTACAAGGCCATGTGAGATCGATTAGGAGCGAACGATATTGAATGGTTTGCTGCTAACCATATGTGGGATATGTCTGCCGCAACGAAAATTGGTTTCCGTAGCGCATAGACTTCGGTTTACAAGAAGTGGGCTTGTCACAATGTCTTCAGTGAGGCAAAGATGGGCGTTGTCGCTGGAAGACTGGTGGATATGGCTTAGCAGATTATAGCAAAGTCGTGATACTATTCCGGATAGAACACAATATCCTGTTTGACGGTGTTTTTAGTGTAAACAATATCAACATGTATGACGCGGAAATGTAATCGTAACGCTAGAGGCGCGATTCTCCAGGCACGTAAGATGGGTTGGACAAGGGGCTAGAGCGGCGTCAAGCAGCCGAGGTTGCTTCCTTGACTCCAACCTTGCATTGTCCGTCCACCCTCGGAGATAACGACTACCGCCGCTCAGCCGTTCCACTCACAAATTAACGTCACGTGTAGCTGTACATATAGCCGGCCCGACCTCTATCACCGGTCACACCGGCCAAACCGGTCACAAAGACTGATAACGTGCTCCGATTCATTCGAAGATGTCACACAGACGACGACATCCGGTCCAAAATGGATCGTGAGAACCTCAGGCCCACTGAGAAACGCCATTTTGTGGCAGATGAGCGATAACAAGTAGTTTGTGCTTAAGCCACAACAAGAACGTCAGCGAACATTCGTATCACGGAATGCTCAGATATGGTACTTACTACCAGTCCAAATCCTATCAGTATGAGCGTCACTTTCCTCCTACTTTCGAAGGTAACATTGCGCGTAATCATTAAAATAGCATTATATATATTCAAGGAGCTTATTGTTGTCTGAAACTTTGTACAATTCGTAAAAGTTTTAGTAAAAGTTCCTCTTCGCCCTCACTCTTATGATGCTACCATTGAGATAAAGAATGATATCGTCGGATTTGTAATCCAAAAACTTTATTATACAGCTGTTATCTATCTTTTGCATCTTCATAGCTGCGAGTCGCACGACCGTACCTCTTACTAGCATAACATTATCCTAGATTTCTAGTATCAACACAGCAGTATAACCCTTCATGGCATAGGTAATAGTTTTAACCTTGATAAAACAGCAGGGTGTGTCCACCTATCAAACCCGAAATCCGCCATCTACTGTCATTTCTTAAACTCTGGTCACTGGTGTAAACGTCTGTAGATTGACTCCTACTATAATCATTTTTTCGAAAAATGTGTAACCAGTTAGTGGGGCGATGGATGAGCATCATTTTACTTATAGAAAGACATTGCCCCTCACACGCCAGATACCACTCTATCTTGGGTATTAGAAAAGTGATTGATTCCACTAGCTGTGCGTATGCACACTTCGGTAATGCGATCAATACTTGCTCTCATCTTACCTTGCCCTTTCTAGTACAAGCAAGCATTAGCGACTCTTATCTCCTTAAGCCATAATCGATATGCTCGCGTACGACCAGCTCACCAGCCATATCCACTTAGCGCGCCTTGGAAGAGACCATGTGTTCGACCACTTCTTTCCCATGGCGTTCGGGTACGTTGGCTGCTCTCAATAATGAATCTAGCTTCAGGTGGCCATCTAAAAAGTAGCTATGAATTACGCGCCGCTGGTAAATAATACAAGTGATATATAAGAGGTACTATATCGGTCTACAACACCAAAACACGCTTCGCAGGCTTCAAGAATCAGTATCGATGGAACGCAGCGCTTCGCACTGGTGCTTTCTTCCATCAAGTGATGTATAACGGAAGCACCTACATATCCTGCCCCAATAACAGCGATGTCAGCATTGATACGGAGTTCTGTGCTGCTTTGGTGTGTCAATCGAGCCAACTTCTTTCCTCTAATACGAGGGTACAGCGTTAGCTACCGGGAATGGCTTGGATATGTTAGAAAAGGAAGACATTAGGATGCGTATTCTGTAAGATAGCAAGTGAGCAGGCTTTTAATCGCGTAGAGGGCGTGTATGATTATCTCGGTGCTCAACTCATCTAGCTCCCTACATGAGTACGATGCGCAAAGCCGTGTCCCTTGTGCTTCCGCGACCGGTCCGGTCCAGTTCAGAATGGCGGAAAATCAAATAGTCAACGCGATGAGACCGGAGAAATATAGAGTTTCAGCTCTAACTAATCTTGATAAGTGGATAATAGTGGCGTTCTGCGATGATGCAGGCTGTTGCAGTTAATTTTATTTTGGTGGAGGCTGAACAATGGTTGGTGTACATTTTGTCCAATATTATCCAACTCGCATTGCCACTTGCCTGGCCAACCTTTTGGGTATCGAGTCGGGTCTTAGCATTTAATGTTACGGGCAATTTTACTCTCATTATGATTACAATAGTACATACGTATGCACGCGGGCCTTTTACAGTGAAGTTTGCTCGGGTCCGGCGTAGTACTGAAACGAGGAAAGGCTTCCGTGCCTCACGCTAGCACAGATCCGTACCAATGGCAGAACCGCCGAAACAAATCACTATCATCTCTATCTAAAGTGGTCCAAAGGTGGAGAAAACTGCGCGCTAGAGCCCGGGCCGGCTCTCTTATCTGTGGGGTTCCCCGCGACCGTTCCAGTCCACGAATCCATCTCAAGCTATGGCCGTGAGACTTCTAGCATATGTAGAGCTGCATTCCGTCTTGTGGTAGAGCAAGGGGCTCGGTAATAGACAGTCCTAATTATGGCATCTTTTCAAGACAAAGACATCAAGGCCGACACCGGCGTTACCAACATGATTGCAGACGATGGCGTTGCTGACGTTGCAGTCGGCTCTGTGGAAGAACCTCCTCGTTCTGCATTTTCCACTTTCTTTCGAAGCGTGCTATTCCAGATGATAATGTTTGGAGCGTAAGTGTTGCCTCGAACCCATCACAGGGCCAAGTATCCTACTGATCAACACTCAGACTATCACTGGTCGGACCAGCCATGTCGGATGCCATTTCCAATCTTGGTGGTGGAGGACTATCCACACCATGGATAGCAAATCTTGCAAACTCGCTGAATTACACAATGAGCTTTTGCAGTACTATTCTAGGGGGTCCGGTCATCAATAGAATTGGCATCAAATGGTCTTGCATGATCGCGGCTCTGGCAATGCCGCTGTTTGGATCTGCATACTATGTGAATGCGAGGTACAATGTTGAATCATATCTCTTGATTGCAAATGTTATCGGAGGTGAGTCATGTTTGCGCGTGGCCTCAACACGAAGTATACTGATGGGTAACCAAAGGTATTGCGTCTGGGTTCCTTTATGTCGGCGAGACCACTGCGATGCTGTCGTATCCCAATCCGGAAGACCGTGGATTCTACCTCGGTGAGTGGATTGCCAATTATTCATTTCGAACTTCGTACTGATCGAGGAAGGTATATGGTCTGCGATGCGAAATTCTGGTAGTGTTATTGGCGGTGCGATTAACTTCTCAACAAACTACGACAGGGCAGGAAGTGGAGGTATCGCGTGGACAACATACCTGATATTCGTTGGCCTTGGTAAATCATATGTTGTCGCTGGGCGCTCTCATGCTGACAACATTCAGAATGTACTGGATTCATATGGGCGTTTCTTCTGTCTCCAACTGCAAAAGTACGTCGCCGCAATGGTGGCAAAGTTTCCATGTCTCGTCGAGCGTCATGGAAACAGGAATTTACTGCTTTATGGGTATACTTGCAAAGAGATAAGGTTAGAGATGAACTGGTAGACTGAATCCCAATGACTAACGATTGCCAGACTTGGCTCATCTTCTTGCCATCATTTTACTCTTTCTTCTATGGAGGAACCATGGGCACGTACCTAGCTCGTCATTTTTCGGTACGAGCTCGCGCTTTGTCCTCTTTGTTAGTCCGTAAGTGTACAATCTCATAGCAGCTATCTGTAAGTTGACTTGAGCAGCGGTCATAACCATACCATCCGTCATCACATTTGGCAAGCTACTGGACAGTACCTTTTGGTCGCAGCGTCGTCGAGCGTGGACAGCAATGATGGCCTGGTTACTACCACAGATAGCTTGTTTCATTTGGGTTGCATACGAATACCATGAGCTTGGTGACAAGTCTGCACTGGATCCAAAATTGTAAGTACTTTCACGTGGTAATCATTACTGGAATACTAACTACAGTAGGCAATCAAAATCATGGGCTAAAGCTTACGTGCCATACCTGATAATCTTTGTTACAGGTTACTGGACTCAGCTTACATTATACTGGATTCTGGGCATATATTCAAAAGATATTGAAGTTGCTTCGCGCGCAGGGGGTGTCTTCCGCGCTTTCGAAACCTCCGGACAAGCGGTGTCGTACGGACTAAGCTCAGCAAGTCACATCAAACACGTCATTCCGCTCTATGTTAATTGCGGTGTACTGGCTCTTATGATTCC